TAGATTTATTTACATATATGTCTAATCTAAATTCATTTAGAAAATCTATAAGTGTACTCTATTTTAATTATAATTTGACTTTTTGAAAAGGTACATGGCCCATCTAAAGTCACATGTAGCTAATAAAGCCCAACCTGAAGGGTCAATTGCAGAAGGCTACCCTTTAGAGGAAACCATTAAGTTTTGTTCAAGATATCTTGAATGTGTTAAGACTGTCTTTAACAAACCTAAACGAATTGATGATGATAGTCCCAGTTCAGGAAAATACTTGTGTAGTTCTAGCGGTCGAGTTGAGGTGGGTCGAGACTAGGTCCTTGAAACAAACCCCTACCCAAGGCCAAACAAAATTTGTAATCTCTCATCACACCCTTATACAAGTATAATGGTAAGTCGAGGGTCGAACCACTAAGGAATGGAGAGCGATCTTATATTGCCAAGTCAAGCTATTCCGGAAAGGTTAGGTAAGGCTATGAATGCTAAACAACTAAACAAGCTAGGTTTGGACAAATGTAATGAACACTAGGGCTCGGGATCCACATATACTTGTAACAGATTCCGCTAATTGGGAAAGACTTGACTAAGTCGAGTGATGCGAGGGAAAACCAATCATGCAACCAAAAGAGCATATCAAGCTATTTTCCTAGAGGTCTAACTAGCGTCAACTACGATAAACTCTAGCTAGGAACGTTACAAGACACCTCAATCGTGTAAATGCAAGCCACAAATCAATGGTCCGTATCAATGTGAACCTACAATGCAATCTAGTGTGAATAACTAGGGTGATCAAGCCTAAATCAGACACAAACATGCACATAATCAATTAACCAATTTAATCAAATCATCAACTCCATCAATTTCCCCAAAATAACATCAATCCATTACTCATATATGCTTCACCATTACCCTAGCTATCAAACTACTCACTAGCCATTGAAATCAAGATCAAAACAAGGCTAAACAACAAATTCATCATGATCAAATTAAACAAACTAAAATCAAATCACAATCAATCAAACTTCAATCAAACTTGAACTTTTAACAAAACAATTGAAATCAAACTAAAGATTGAATTAAAGAAAAGGAATCCTTACAAACTTGATCAAAGATCAAAGAAAATGGAGAAATCTTCAATCAATAACAATCCACCATGAAATTCTCTCTCTAAAAATCTAGAGTTTCTCTCTCTAAAAATATAAAACTAAACTAATTCGATTCTAATTCTCTTCCTAAAAATAAAAGGAAAAACTATATATAGGAAAGCTACAAAAGAAGAGTTAGTTAGATCGTCCAAAAGAAACCCCGGAAGGCATAGTCGCATCAAGGAAGAGGTGCGGCAGCGGGAAAATGGGTACGGAACAGGGGCAAGAGGAGGTGCGCCCGCACCTGCACATGGCGCGCCCGCACCTGCATATGGCGCGCCCGCACCACCTGCGTGCGCGCCCGCACCTCGCAGCAGGGCACTTCCTCTCTTTCTTCGACCTAGCTCATCCTCGTGCGCTCGTCTTGGTGATGATAATGAACACTAAGGTTGGCAATCTTGAAATGGATATTTTTGTGGGTTAATGGAAAAGATAATACCCCTAGCGGTTACGTGCACCGATCTCTTGACTTGCTCCTTGCGTTCCTTCAAACTTGAAGCTCCAAAAGGCCAACATGAGGCATCCAAATTGATGAGAAATATGAGAGGAAGGCTCGGGAATCCTTGGAAACACTATCATAACCTAAAAACAAATGAAAACAAACATATAAAAGGGAAAAAGAGCAAATAAACAAAGAAATGCACAAAATAAGGAAACTAACTATGGAAAACACAGACTAACGAAATAAAGAACAAAACTAAGGAAAAACTAAGGAAAAGGGCTATAAAATAGTATGAAAATTATCCTAAAAGAGGCCAAATGAGTGCCATAAATGACACTCATCAAATTCCCCCAAGCTAAACTTTTGCTCGTCCTCGAGCAAAACAAAGCAAGAAAGAATAAGGATGAAAGACTTATTCAAAAAGAAAAAGAACGACTCAAGATTAGAATATACACTAAGACTCACTGTCGTAGGAATCACGGTAGTTTTTAGCTACAACGAGCCATTTTAAACCCCTAGATCGCCTTAGAGGACGAGTAATGCTCTCGTAAGTGTATCCTAAGAGTTTAACCATAACTCTCCCCCAACATCAAAGAGGCAAAACCATAAAAAGAAAAGAAAAGGGAAAAGGAAAACAAAACCTTTGGGAAATGGACTTACAAAGAGACTACAATGCAAATGAATGAAAATCTTTCTCAAGCAATCAAGGTATGCAATTTTCAAGATATTCAAGGTTGATTGAAACATAGGGTATGCTAGGCATAGGAACTAGACATCACAATCCACGTTCATCCCAAACGATCTTACCGCGTTCTCCCCACTAGTCTCAAATCTCCCCTTAGTGAGCATACCAATGATTCCTCGAAGGAACCGGAAAAGAAAAAGATTTATTTAGGCAACTCGACATCTTGACTATGCATCCCCTTTCCTTAGGCAATGACCCATGATTCCCTCCCCCGAATAGTGACTCAACTTCTAGGTCAAAAGGGATTTCCCAAAGGTTGTAACGTAAGGGCATAAAGGGTGAAGGTAGGCTAAAATTTGAAATTTGGTGGTTTTCCTAATAGTGAAGCAAAGAACGGGCCCTTTCTTAGAATCACAATCAAGTAAACACCAATCCAAACAAAAATACGTACACCCCCAAGCTTATTCAAAACTATAAATCACAAATATAAGTACAAAAAGCGTAAACGCTTCTCCCCCAAGCTTAAATGAAGCATTGTCCTCAATGCTTAGAAGGAGAAAAGAATACATCAAAATAGTTTTGAATTTTTCACTTTTTCAATCATTTTTTTTTTGTTATGCTTTGCTTTGTCCTTGTTTTTTTCCAAATTCGGATCGCTTTTACTCATTCTCATTTTCCATTATTCACAAAGAAGATGAAATCACAAGCTTGCATCAATTTAACCACATATCCAACCTATATCACCACAACTCCGTCAAGAATGATCAATTGCTTCACAAAAACAAGAAATGAAAGAAAATGAAACAAAAGGCCAAAGATCTAAAGATGTGGCTTGAAAAGAAGGAAATAGGCTCAAATGGTTGCAAGAGGGCAAATGTAAACCCAAAAACAAAGATGAAACAAACTATCTTAAAAATGAAAAATACCACCCCGAAAAAGGTGCCTTTGTCCTCCCTAGATAGCTCAGTCTCGGGTTTAAGAATCATAAATCAAGCTTTATAGATTAGGTTTGCAATAGTCAAGGATCCACGCTGCTCATACAAGATAGGTTGAAGGCTTGAAAAACGATGAACCTCACATGGATGTAGCAAAAACTCACTAGTGGTGTCAAATCGACCATAGGGAGCAACTACCAGCATGCCACAAACAAGTAGAATTCGGCTTCATGATCCTCCTAGTTCAAACCAACTACCCTAGCATACACCTATCCTAGAGTCAACCAAGCATAGTCTCAAGCCATGCATACCTTTACTACCTAGGAAGAAAATCATTCAAAAGACAAAGTCCAATTCATAAGGAAAACAAAAAAGGGTGAAAAACAAGCCTCAAAATAAACAAAGGAAAAATAAAAGAAAAGAAAAATAAAAGGAAAAGAAAAGAAAAGGAAAGCCGTAGACAAAGAAAGAATAGGAAAAATGGAGAAAGGAACTAGAAAGCGAGTTAAGCACATATATCCCAATCGACATACAAGTGATCGAATGACAACATCGTCAACGATCCCAAACACGTTACGTGTTAACAAGCAATCATCCTCGAACCGTTCAACTTCCCCTAAACTAAACCTAATCTATGCATCCAAAGAAAATAAATAAAAAAATTAGAAAGGTCTCACTGGGCTATCCATGCTTAGCATAATAAACAAAGGCGATAGAAAAGAACAACCTTCGTTGCGCTCCAAAATCGTAAGAATCATCAAAAAGCCATGTGAGAACAAGAAAAATAAAAGAAGCTATAAATAAAGGAAAAGGTTAGTAACTACAAAACAAAAGAAAAGAAAAGGAAACTACAAAGGAACACTAAACTAAGCTAACAAAGAGTTAAAAAGAAAGAAAAGAAAAACCAAGTAACCAATTAAACTACAATCTAACTAAAAGACACTTAGACTACAAAATTTGGATTCAAAGGGACTTGGTGCAGTTTTGGGAGTTTGAGGATGATGAGGGTCGAAAGTAGAAGGAGGAAATAAAGGGAAATGAAAAAAGAAAGAAGGAAGGGGAAGATAAGGTGGCATGGAAGGGGGTGCAGCCGCACAATGCCTTGGCGCGCCCGCACTAGCCAGGTGCGCGGTCGCACTATATGCGTGAGCGCTCGCACCTGGCCTTGCCCGATTTCTCTTCTTTTCTTTTTTTTTTAAATCTTTGGTGCGTTCATTATTGGTGGGTACACAAATAATGATGATGATAAACACCTACATAGGAAGTAGCAAAACCCCATTTTAGTAGGTTCAAAATCCCAAAATAATGGTAGCACCACATGAACCCACCAAAAAAAACATCCTTCAACTTTTAAAGCACAAAATTCCCTATCTTACCTCACTAAAATTCTTACCCTTTTTCCTAAAATTTCAATGATATCGAGTGTAATCACATCAAAAACCACAAAACACCTTCTCATTCCTCATGCACACCTGATGAAATCCAATCCCAAGAATCCAACCTACAAATCCAAACAAGTAGAAAAGTGAAGGAAAAGAAACTAAAAGAAGGGAAAATAAGAAAATTAAAAATTAAAAAGAAAAGTTAGAGATATCTGGGTTGCCTGTCGAGAAGCGCTTGCTTATGGTCCTAAGCTCGACCCTTCCTCCAAATCATGGAGGGTCAAAGAACACCACCTTCTTTAAAATGGCGGAAAGAGCAAATTTCTCCTCAACTTCTAGCAACTTCTCATTGTTGTTTGATGAAACATCATTCAATAACTCCTCAAAAGCAAGCCTCTCTTTCCATAATCTCATTCTCTATCTCTTTTTCCTACAAGCTCGTGCTCTTTTCTTTGCCTTATTCCTCTTTGTAAATGGTTTCACACCATCCACACTTTTGGGGTCATCGTCCTCCTCCTGAGGGTAGAGCTCAAACCAATGAGGAATGTTAATTTCCTCCTCGTCCATAAGCTTGGGAAGCTTCGTTTTCTTTTCACTAACCTTCTTGCAATCACAACTCAAAAGCACATCATCACAATTCTCAAGAAAACCGTTAGTTGAAGAATCAATCATGCATACATTATAAATGGGGTGAGGGGAATTAACACACATAATCCCTTTCACAAGAGACAAAGACTCATGCATTGGTTTTAGCTCAAAACTTTCCTCATTCTTACCAAATCTCAAGGTAATACGACGTCCTTTCACATCTATTAAGGCTCCCGAAGTGGCTAAGAAAGGTCTTCCTAAGATGATAGGGATATGGTCACCTTCTGCTATATCAAGCACAATGAAATCAACGGGAATGGTGAACTCTCCTATCTTGAGAGGAACATCCTTAACTCTCCCCTTTGGAAACTTAATAGACCGATCGGCCAATTGAAGGGTCATGTTGGATTGAAGGAGTTCACCTAGCTTAAGTTTCATAAAAACGGAATAAGGCATGATGCTAACACTAGCACCAAGATCACAAAGGGAATTTTGGAACAGTTTTCCTTTGATTTTGCAAGGTACGGAGAAATTTCCGGGATCTTTCAACTTTTGGGGTAAGTCATTATGAATAAAGGCACTACAACACTCCCCCAAATTCACCGGTTCCACCATATTGCAATCTCTCTTACCACTCAAAATTTCCTTGATAAACTTAGCATAGTTTGGCATTTGTTCTACCACATCGGTGAAAGGAAGAGTAAGATGAAGTTGCTTAAGCATCTCGATGAATTTTCCAAATTGCTCATCCAATTTATACCTATTGTGCTTCTGGGGGTAAGGAAGTCAAGGTTTGTAAACCTAATCTTTCTTTCGCTCTTTCTCCTTAGGCTTATCATTGGAATCCTCACTCATCTTGCTAGGCTCTTCATGCTTATTCCCCTCATTCGAATCACTCTCCTTTTCACTCTCCTTACTCTTCCTAGGAACACTCTCTTTAAGGACCTTATCACTCCTAGTGGTCATAGCACACATCGGTTCCCTAGAGTCAACTTCTTCTGAGGGTAAAGAAAGAGGACTAGCACAATCTCTCAAAGGGATGGCCAGTTCATTGATTTGGTTCTCAAGCATCTTTCCATGAGTAAATAGGACCTCAAACATTTTGTTACAAGACAATGTGAATTCATTTAACTTCTCGGATTGAGCCATCATGAAATTCTCTAGCCTATTCAATTGGGATTGTTGAGCATAGAAATCATCACCTTGGCTTTGAGTCGTTGGAGTAATTTGGGGTGGGGTACCTCTTTGAACATCATTTTGAAAATCTCCCCTACTTTGATTACTCCAATTACCCTTACCATGATTTTGGCCGGAATTTTGATTATGGTTACCATAACCTTGGTTATGATCCCCATATTCTTGGCCATGGCTTTGATCATTACAACAAAAGTTATTATGGTTACCACAAAATTCTTGGGTCACATGGTTACCATAACCACTATTTTGGTTATAATTATCATAGCTCCCATGATTGTGACAATTCCTACTCCCAACATTCTTTTGAGCATTAAATCTAGGTCCATGATCATTATTATCAACGCAATTCACACGCACATTCTCATATCCATCACAAGGAACATTGGAGCAATTAGAAGCATTATGATCATTCTTTCCACATAAATCACAAACTAAGCATTCTCTTATCCTGCAACAAGAAGCAAAAGGAGGGTTAGAGTAGGAAGATGTACCTCTCCCCTTAAATTGGGAGGGAAGAGTTTGAGCTTGTGAAGGACTTTCAAGCTTGGTCTTGAGAGAAATCATCTCCTTTCCTAACTCCGAGACCAATGTGGACAAATTGTTGACGACATTAGATTGATCGATTGAGCCATTTGTGCTTGTCGATTCCCTCTATACATCATGCTAATCCATGTAGTTCCTTACCACATCATCTATTACATCCACAACCTCTTCTTCCGTTTTGTTCATAATCGACCCTCCAGCTCCGGCATCAAGGCTTGATCTACCTTGAGAGCTCAAAGCACCATAGAAAATTTGTATGACTTGATAGGTTGGAATTCTGTGGTGAGGGCATTCCCTTTGGTAATCCTTGTACCTCTCCCACGCTTCATAGAGATTCTCTCTAGGCAATTGCTTGAAACTTTGGATTAAGGCTCTAGCCTCCACCGTCTTCTTTTGTGGGTAGAAGCAAGACAAGAAAGCCTTGGTAACTTCATCCCATGTCCTTAAGGACCTTGATTTGACCTCCTTATCCAACCACTCTAAAGCTCTTCCAATGAGAGAGAAAGGAAACAACTTTAGCCTTTTTTTTTGGTAAATAAAGAATTTTATTACCAAAAGTAAAGAGTTACTACCCATAAAAGTAGCAACTACAAGAAATGAAAGTTCAGTACATGCCCTTTGGGCCAAAAAAGCAACAAAACCAAGGCCCGAAGGCAATACAAAGGAAACAACTTTAGCCTTTTATTACCAAAAGTAAAGAGTTACTACCCATCCGCCAACATCATCATAAAAAGCAGCTTGATAACAATCCCACAGTCAGCCTGCCAGGACAGAACAACAGCATGCATGCAGTACAATCCAGGACAAAAGATCGCAGCCATGAACCATCATCCAGCAGCACAAACATAAAGAGGCTAAAGCAAGACAGAGAAGCACAAGATGCCACAATAAAGGTAGATCAACATCTATCACAACGGAAGAGGCAAAAGAAGGAGTCTTGGAAGAAACAGCAAACAAGGTAGCAATAGGAATACCACCCACCATACATCCCAGGTTATCAACTAGCACCTCATACTAGGAGACAACACTAAAAATAGGGCGTCAACCTACTACACACCAAGCAAGCTAGAATAACCAAGACTCACCCATGACAACCAACTTCCACCATGCCAAACAACGACAGAGAATACACCACCACCAACATCACCATAAAACAGCTTGATAACACCCCACAATCAGCCTGCCAGGACAGAACAATAGCATACATGTAGTACAAACCAGAACAAAAGATCGCAGCCATGAACCACCAGCCAGCAGCACAAACACAAGGAGGCTCAAGAAAAACATAATAGCATAAGTTGCCTGGACAGAGATAGATCAACAACCACCACAACAAAAGAGGCAAAAGAAGGATCCTGGACAAAAGCAAGAACCAAGGTAGAAAGAAGGATACCACCCACCATACAATCCAAGCCATCAACTAGCACCTCATGCTAGGAGACAACACTAAAAACGGGCTTCATCCCACTACATACCAGGCAAGCTAAAATGACCAAGACTCAACCATGATAGCCAACCTCCACCAAATAAAACAAAGAAAAAAAAAAACATCTTCCACCAGCATAACCATAAAATCAGCTTGGTAATAAACCCGAAGTCAGCATGCCAGGACAGAACAATAGCATACATGCAATACAAATCAAGACAAAGGATCGTAGCCATGAACCATCAGCCAGCATCACAAACAAAAGGGGCTCAAGCAAAGCAGAAAAGCATAAGATGTCGAGGAAAAGATAGGTCAACAACTACCACAAAAGAAGAGGCATAAAAATAAGTCCAGACAGAAGCAAGAAACAAGGTAGCAATAGGAGAAACACCCACCATACAAATCAGGCTATCCACTAGCACCTCATTGATAGGGTCATAAAAGTATGATATTACATTTATTAAGCTCTTGATATTATAATTAAAATTTCATAGTTTAAGGGTGTTTTATTTAATATTCTTCCATAGACACGAGTTACTACTATTTTATTTAGTTGTTTATAGGAAAGAGAATTTTGACATCAAAATGGATTCAATTGCTGCTCGGGATTCAAGGAAACGAAACCCCACAAATTGGGATTACAAATATTTGTATCAAGCCCAAAGTTAATATGTAAGTGAAGCCCATCAAGAGAGACTTGAAGTCCAGCAGCCCTAAAAGAAGGAGAGAAACCCCAAAAGAGGAAAACACGTTCATCTTCTCTAGGAAGCTGCTATAGGAAATCTTGACCGATTCTCGCGGGTAACAGATCATCAAACAATAGATGATAGGGATGAAATCAGTTAATTATGGGGGCGAAAAATTCGAATAGGTGGTTTTTAATTGGGGGTCTAAGTTTTGTGGGTGGCAGTACATCAGAAGAGACAACCAGTACCTACTGCAATTGAAGGACTGAAACAAGGGTGAAGAACAATTAATAGAACTAAATTTGTTCTCTTCGTGGAATTAGCTAAGTGAATCTAATTGTCACTTTGTCAGTACCTTGTCTACTTTTAGTGGTATTACAATTTTGCTTATTACTATTTATATGCACTAGTTTTGTAGTTGGTATTGGAGTTTGGATAATTAGTTTTGTTTGATAAGTTTCATTATTGATTAAGCTTTGTTAATTAGCTATATTATGTATTTCATGATTTCTCCTTTTCTATTCTATACTATTAGTATGTCAGGCTAGATTAAATAAGGGTAGGGAGATAAATTATGCATTGGATTATTGTATTGTGAGAATAGAATTGTTATAATTATTGGGTATTATGTTTATGTCTTGATTGGATTGATAATTTGGTTTATTGATATGAACTAGTCGAATTATATTTTAGACCGGCCATCTTTTGTATAGTTTACTAGTTTGATTGCTAAAGTATTAACTTGTGATACGTAATTGTCTTTGTTAATTTCCTTTGGTAGAAATTAGGTGTGTGATTGGTGACTAAAACCTTTTATAATACCTAAGATTATCAACCCTTTGAGTTGCACAAATCCGAGCTTGTGAGATTTGTGGTTTAAGTTAACTATCTCCTTGTTTTAATGCTGCTAATTAATCAAGTCTAGAGAGCTTGTTCTAGATTATTAGTTAGTTAGACAATAACCCAAGAGCTTGTTTGGTTTATTTGCACTTGAGGGAGGTTGAGTGCTTATTTGTGTTCATCGGCTAACATTAAGACATGTGCATGATTTATTTGATTCGGTGATCAATTCATAGTCCAATACTAATATATATCTTCCGATCCCTATTTTATTATCCTTGATTTTTATTGTATTTCAATTTTAGTAGTTTATTTATTATGTTTTGTATTTTATTCGTCCTATAGTTCGTAGTAGTTTATTTGTTAGACCGTAGTATTATTTCTTCAAAACGGGGGTTTCTAACATACACAAGTTATAGTTTAATAACCCAATTCTCTATAGGATCGACCCTAGCTTACCCTACTACATTTTAGGAGGTTAGAGTTAGGTTTATTTTTTGTAGACACGCGACAGTTGTACCAAAATTTGGCGCCGTTGCCGGGGAGTTGGCGTTTTATTTCATTATTTCTTGTGTTTTTTTTTCTAACTTTTCCTGCTAACTTGTCACCTAGTTCCTTGTTTTTTGTATGTGTGACAGAAACTTGAAGCATCAAAGATTAAGAAACTTTGTAGCAAGGAATCAGGGAGTGATAATTTATCCTTTTTCTACTCTTCCAGTAGCTAAAAGGACTCGTGCTCAAATACTGGAGCAAGCTCGTCACATTCCGTTGCCTCTAAGCGAAAGCTCGTCTTCAGACGAGGAAAGTGAAGAGATTTTTGAGATGGGTGATCAAACACTCAAGCAGCTCGCAGCTCCAACTTTTGATCCAAATTTGTTGTGCATAGTAGATGATGGGACCGAAATTGAGATCAAGCCTGGACTGATCAGAGCTCTTCCCACATTTTCAGGTTTCCGTACTAATTCCTTGGGGTCAGTCCACATGAATGAGACGAACAGATTTTTGAAGGAATTCCACATAGCATGTGCAGGGATGAAACCAGCTGGAGTTACCCTAGATCAACTCAAGCTGAAGGCATTTCCTTTTGCCTTGTCCGACGCTGCCAAGGAGTGGTTATTTGAGGTACCTGCTGGAACCATTACAACCTGGGATCAGATGCTGAAAGTGTTTGCTGACAGATATTTTCCAGCATCTTTAATAGCCAATATCAGGAAAGAAATATGTGGAATTCGACTAGAAGATCCAGAGACACTTTATGAGTATTGGGAGCGTTTCAAGAAGCTATGTGATAGCTGTCCCAACCATCAGATCAGTGAGCAATTACTAGTGCAGTACTTTTATGAAGGGCTCAAGGAGTCGGACAGAAACTTTATTGATGCTGCAAGTGGCGGAGCATTGGTTGATAAGACACCCGCGGAGGCAAAGACACTGGTAGCAAACATGGCAGCAAACTCTCAGTACCGTGGAGGTCGAAATATTAAGTCCAGTTCTGTACGTCAAGTTAATGAAGTGGTGAATTCTAACCTCGAGCAACAATTAGCTAAACTCACTTCTTTAGTGGAGCGAGTGATGGTCGAAAAAGGGCAAGAAAGAGTTTGTGGCATATGTTCGATAGCAGGACACCCAACTGATATGTGCCCTACTATGCAAGAAGAACAAGTAAATTCTGTTGGTGGTGTTCAGGGACAGCAAAGACGCTATGATCCGTTCTCTCAGATTTATAATCCGGGGTGGAGAGATCATCCAAACCTGAGATATGGCAATGTTCAGCAGCAGGCAGGCAACTCCAACCTCAGACAACCAGCTTTCCAGCAACAACAAGCATCTAATACTCCACCTGGTTTTCATCAACAACCGCAATATCAGCCGCGACCTTAAAATCAGCAAGTCTCCCAGCCACAATCTGGTAGCATGTCTCTGGAAGAAATCGTGAAGGCAATGGCTGACAACACTTTGAATTTTCAGCAAGAAACAAGAAGTGGACTAAAGAACTTGGAGAACCAAGTTTCTCAGTTAGCTAACACAGTGGGAAAACTCCAAGCTCAGAATTCTAACAAGTTGCCTAGCCAACCAGAGAGAAATCCGAAGGAGAATGCAAGCGCCATATCACTTAGAAGTGGCAAGCAGCTGGAGGTTCCAGAAAAAAGCAGGAGCGAAACGCTAGCAGAACACCAAGAGGAATATGAGACTGTTGTTCCAGGAAAAAATGAGCAGCCCTCTAAGGTAAGTGATGTTGTTTCATCCAAAACTGACCATTTTTCTTCTTCTGTTCCTTTCCCTAGCAGGTTAACTTCTATGGATAAGAAGAAAGAGATGGAAAAGGAGGTGCTAGATGTATTTCACAAGGTAGAGGTGAACATACCTTTACTGGAAGCCATTAGACAAGTACCGCGTTATGCAAAGTTTCTGAAGGATTTGTGCACTAACAAGTGAAAACTGAATGCAGATGAGAAGGTCAGCGTAAGTGAGAATGTATCTGCAGTTTTACAGAGGAAAATTCCTCCCAAGTGCAAGGATCCAGGTATTTTTACTATACCTTGTAGAATAGGTAACAAGAGATATGAGAGGTGCATGTTAGACTTAGGTGCTTCTATTAATGTGATGCCTTTATCTATTTATAAAGCACTGAACTTAGGACCTTTAAAAGATACTCGTGTGATTATTCAACTTGCTGACCGTTCTAATACTTATCCTTTAGGAGTGATTGAGGATGTCTTAGTACAAGTAAATGAACTTGTGTTTCCTGCTGATTTTTATGTGTTAAATATGCCAAATGATGAATCCTCTAATGCAACGCCAATCTTATTAGGGAGACCTTTTCTAAAAACATCTAGAACCAAGATTGATGTTCATAGTGGGATTTTGACCATGGAATTTGATGGGGAGGTTATCCGATTTAATTTATTTGATGCCATGAGATACCCCTCTGATTGTGAATCTGTTTCTAGTATAGATGTTATTGATACACTAACTGAGCAAGTATTTTTTCTCTCTGGTCATGATGCATTAGATGTTGTTTTGACTGAACCTGTGGAAAAAGTGCAATACACTAACCTGCAGGAACATTTTGAGCTTGAAAATGATGTCAAGGAAGCTTTCTCCTCCTTGGAAGTGCTTCCAAATAAGCAAGGAAGGTATGTAGATAAATTTATGAAATTTCCTGTCACATCTAACAGACTTTTACCTTCTATTGTACAGCCACCTGAAGTGGAGTTAAAACTTCTGCCTTACCACTTGAAGTATGCATTTTTGGGAGAGAATGACACTCTTCCAGTCATAATCGCGAGTAACCTAACTCCGACTCAAGAGCAAAAGCTGGTGCAAGTTCTCAAGAAGCACAAAACAACTTTAGGGTGGACAGTTGCGGATATTAAAGGGATTAGCCCTTCTATGTGCCAACATAGAATTTTATTAGAAGAGGGAGCTAAACCTGTGAGACAAGTGCAGCGACGACTTAATCCACCTATGATGGAAGTAGTAAAGAAAGAAGTATTGAAGCTTCTTGAAGTGGGGGTGATATATCCTATATCAGATAGCCCTTGGGTCAGTCCCTTGCAAGTGGTCCCGAAAAAGTCAGGAGTTACAGTGGTGGAGAGTGATAAGGGAGAAATGGTTCCCACTCGAGTGCAAAATGGATGGAGAGTTTGTGTAGATTACAGGTTACTTAATTCTATGACTCGAAAAGATCATTTTCCCTTACCCTTTATTGATCAAATGGTAGAACGTCTTGCTGGTCATGCTTATTACTGTTTTCTTGACGGATATTCAGGTTATGTGCAGGTTCCTATAGCTCCGGAGGATCAAGAAAAAACAACGTTCACATGCCCGTATGGTACATTTGCGTATCGTCGTATGCCATTTGGATTGTGCAATGCTCCGGCGACTTTTCAGAGATGTATGGTAAGCATCTTTTCATATTATCTTGAAAATTTTATAGAAGTTTTCATGGATGATTTCACTATACATGGAGATTCTTTTGATAGTTGCTTAGAACATCTCACTTTAGTTCTTAAACGTTGTCTTGAAACTAACCTTGTGCTTAATTCTGAAAAATGTCATTTCATGGTTCAACAAGGTATAGTTTTAGGCCATATTGTGTCTTCTGAAGGAATAAAAGTTGATAAAGCTAAAATAGACCTTATTTCTTCTCTGCCTTACCCCGCCTATGTGCAGGAAGTTCGTTCTTTTCTTGGCCATGCAGGTTTCTATCGCAGGTTTATTGAAGGATTCTCTAAGATTGCGCAACCACTATGCAGACTACTCCAAAAGGACGTGGAGTTCCACTTTGATGAGGCCTGTAAGCAGGCATTTGACAAGCTAAAAGATAAGTTGGTCAGTGCCCCTGTTCTACAACCACCTAACTGGGAGCTCCCCTTCGAACTGATGTGTGACGCGTCCAACTATGTTGTAGGGGCAGTGCTGGGCCAGCGAGTTGGAAAGATTCCTCATGCAATCTACTATGCTTCGAAAACTCTTGATGAGGCTCAAGCTAATTATACTACGACTGAAAAAGAACTTCTTGCTATAGTTTTTGCTTTAGATAAATTTCGATCTTATTTATTGGGAACTAAAATCATTGTGTTTACTGATCATGCAGCGTTATAGTTCCTATTATCAAAAAAGGAAGAAAAACCAAGGCTAATACGTTGGATCTTGTTACTTCAAGAGTTCAACGTTGAAATTAGAGACAAGAAAGGTTCTGACAGTAGTGTTGCTGATCATTTGAGCAGATTAGTTGGTGTTGATGAAGGCAAATCTCCAATCAATGAAGAGTTCCCCGACGAGCAACTTCATGCTTTGATCAGGAACTCCGTGGTATGCTGATTTAGTGAATTTTCTTGTATCTGGGAAGTTTCCAGTCAGCTACACTAAAGCACAAAAGGACCAAATGCAAAGCATAGCAAAATACTTCATATGGGATGACCCGTATCTCTGGAAGTATTTTCTTTCGATCCTAACTTTCTGTCATTCTTATGCATGTGGAGGACATTTCGGGCCTAAGAGAACTGCACGCAAGGTTTTAGAGAGTGGATTCTATTGGCCATCCATATTCAAAGATGCATATGAAATTTGTAAGACTTGTGATAATTGTCAAAGAACAGGTACACTAGGTCCTAGGAATGAAATGCCCCAAACCCCCATTTTAATATGTTAAATTTTCGACGTTTGGGGTATGGATTTCATGGGACCCTTTCCTTCTTCTTTTGGCTTTCAATATATCTTGCTTGCTGATGATTATGTCTCAAAATGGGTGGAAGCTATAGCCACCCGTACTGATGATTCTAAAGTGGTTGCAGAATTTTTGAAATCGAATATATTTGCTAGATACGGATTTCCAAGGGCCATCATCAATGATAAGGGGACACACTTTTGCAATAAGACAGTAGGGGCTCTCTTAAAGAAGTATAATGTGTTTCATCGAATATCTACTGCATACCACCCACAATCAAATGGACAGGCTGAAGTTTCTAACAAAGAGATCAAGTCCATCCTTGAAAAGGCCGTAAATCCAAATAGGAAAGATTGGAGCCTCCGCCTTAATGATGCTTTGTGGGCATACAGGACAACATATAAGACGCCCATTGGGATGTCTCCGTATAGGCTTGTATTTGGTAAACCGTGCCACCTTCCTGTGGAGTTAGAACACAAAGCCTTTTGGGCCGTGAAGCAATGTAATATGGAAATGGATGCAGCGGGTGAACAACGAAAACTTCAGTTACAAGAGTTAGAAGAGATCCGGAATGATGCTTTTGAAAATGCAAGGATATACAAAGAGAAGACTAAGGCATTTCATGATAAACGCATCTCACGGAAGACATTCACAGTTGGGCAGAATGTTCTTCTCTACCATTCTCAGCTCAAACTATTTCCTGGCAAACTCCGTTCTCGATGGGTGGGACCATTTGTTGTCACAAAGGTGTATGAGCATGGTGCAGTGGAGATTCGTATTGAATATACGGGGAAAGAATTCAAGGTGAACGGTCATCGGTTGAAGCCTTACTATGAGGGTTATCAGGTCCAGAACATTGAAGTAATGGAGCTTGAAGCCCCTAGTTATGATGCCTAGTATGCTCAGAAACCGTCAAGCTAACGACGATAAGTATAGCACTCTTGGGAGGCAGCCCAAGTTTAGGAAGATAATTTGATGTTTTATTTTATTTATTTATTTTTTTTATTACTGTTCTTTGTCTGTTTTCAAAAAAAAAAAAAAAAAAAAAAAAAAAAAAACAATCTGGACACTGAAGTTGCTTGTTTTAGTGTGATTTGTTTCAGAGCACAGCCAGGTGTAAAGTTGCAGCACCAATCTTTCTATACATGAAGCCATCAGGCTAGCTACACATCTCAGCAGCAGCCTGGAAGCATCCAACACGAGGCTCGCTGCATTAGATAGAACCATTTTCTCTCCAATAATAGCAAGACATGAGCAAATTTCAGCTTGGGGGATGCTACTAGGGCAGTCAGTGCTCACATTCCACTAACTAACTTCACCAGGTGAGCTCGTTTCCTTTTCCTTCTATTTTCTCCCTTTTATTTTGCTATTACTAATTTTCATTCAGTTACACATTGAGGGCAATGTGTGACTTAAACTTGGGGGGGAGTGAGTTATGTTTGGTATGGTATTGAGTCTGGCAGTCTGTGTCGACAGTGCTTTGCTTATGTTCTTAACAATATTCTCTACTATGCTTAACTTTGGCTTATAGGCTTGTATATATGCAGATTTTTTTTTTAAAAAAAAAAAAAAACATGGCTCTTTGAACAATTACAAGCTGATGGAAGTCAACGTTGTAGTGTTGTAATAAGAATGAAATGATTTAGGCATAAAGGCATGTGCACCAAAATAGCCAAAAAGCTTACATGATCCACTAATCAAACAATTTGAGCCTTATTGACCTATTTTTCTGGTTATCTAATTCAAATACCATTGATCTGAAAAAATTAACCCAGATGTTTACCTTCTCTTGGATTAGTAGAGCAATGCATGTGTAAAGTGGATTATCAGTGTGGCAGTGTTTTATTCTAATTAATGTTTCATATTAAAGGCTCTGCGTACCAATGTATGGGATTAAAAAAAAAAAAAAAAAAAAAAAAAGATCAGAACCCATAAATGTACGTGTGGTGTTTTATGTATCGTAGTTGAGTAACTCGAGTTAGTAAATCCGTAGGGGTTTCTTCAAACCTAGTGCCTTGGGACAACTGGACCTGGAGTCATTGGTTGAAAGCTCGTTACATGGGTTTCTTGACAGATACATAGCATTTAGAGTCATGAAACAAAATAAAAGGAGGGAAAGTCATGAAGCTCCAAAAGTTATAAGAGGTGTGATTTTATAGTTTATGTATTAATTCTTGAGGCTCTACTAGTCATAGAGTTTTTTTTTATCATCACATTCCTTAAAATATGACACACCTTTATCTACCTTAACCCCTGCATCCTTTTATAAGTCCTAATAATCTTTCAAACTACTTCACCACATTGTTGATGCAAAGTAGGCTGTGATTGGTCTAAGAGCTGGTATTTGATTTCTAATCTCATAAATAAGTTTCCTTCTGCATATACTACTTGACTTGAGGTTGTTATTGAGCAATATAGAGTACTTGTTACAGCATGTTAGCCTGTTATATTATATATTGTTATATCAAGAGTTCTAACTCCTTTGTGATTTCATGTCTTTGCTTGAGGATAAGCAAAATTATAAGCTTGGGGAGTTTGATAGGGTCATAAAAGTATGATATTACATTTATTAAGCTCTTGATATTATAATTAAAATTTCATTGTTTAAGGGTGTTTTATTTAATATTCTTCCATAGACACGAGTTACTACTATTTTATTTAGTTGTTTATAGGAAAGAGAATTTTGACATCAAAATGGATTCAATTGCTGCTCGGGATTCAAGGAAACGAAACCCCACAAATTGGGGTTACTCATATTTGTATCAAGCCCAAAGTTAATGATGTAAGTGAAGCTGCTATAGGAAATCTTGACCGATTCTTGACCGATTCATCTTCTCTAGGAAGCTGCTATAGGAAATCTTGACCGATTCTCGCGGGTAACAGATCATCAAACAATAGATGATAGGGATGAAATCAGTTAATTATGGGGGCGAAAAATTCGGATAGGTGGTTTTTAATTGGGGGTCTAAGTTTTGTGGGTGGCAGTACATCAGAAGAGACAACCAGTACCTACTGTAATTGAAGGACTGAAACAAGGGTGAAGAACAATTAATAGCACTAAATTTGTTCTCTTCGTGGAATTAGCTAAGTGAATCTAATTGTCACTTTGTCAGTACCTTGTCTACTTTTAGTGGTATTACAATTTTGCTTATTACTATTTATATGCACTAGTTTTGTAGTTGGTATTGGAGTTTGGATAATTAGTTTTGTTTGATAAGTTTCATTATTGATTAAGCTTTGTTAATTAGCTATATTATGTATTTCATGATTTCTCCTTTTCTATTCTATACTATTAGTATGTCAGGCTAGATTAAATAAGGGTAGGGAGATAAATTATGCATTGGATTATTGTATTGTGATAATAGGATTGTTATAATTATTGGGTATTATGTTTATGTCTTGATTAGATTGATAATTTGGTTTATTGATATGAACTAGTCGAATTATATTTTAGACCGGCCATCTTTTGTATAGTTTACTAGTTTGATTGCTAAAGTATTAACTTGTGATACGTAATTGTCTTTGTTAATTCCCTTTGGTAGCAATTAGGTGTGTGATTGGTGACTAAAACCTTTTATAATACCTAAGATTATCAACCCTTTGAGTTGCACAAATCCGAGCTTGTGAGATTTGTGGTTTAAGTTAACTATCTCCTTGTTTTAATGTTGCTAATTAATCGAGTCTAGAGAGCTTGTTCTAGATTATTAGTTAGTTAGACAATAACCCAAGAGCTTGTTTGGTTTATTTTCACTTGAGGGAGGTTGAGTGCTTATTTGTGTTCATCGGTTAACATTAAGACATATGCATGATTTATTTGATTCGGTGATCAATTCATAGTACAATACTAATATATATCTTCCGATCCCTATTTTATTATCCTTGATTTTTATTGTATTTCAATTTTAGTAGTTTATTTATTATATTTGTATTTTATTCGTCCTATAGTTCGTAGTAGTTTATTTGTTAGACCGTAGTATTATTTCTTCAAAACGGGAGTTTCTAACATACACAAGTTATAGTTTAATAACCCAATTCTCTGTGGGATCGACCCTGGCTTACCCTACTACATTTTAGAAGGTTAGAGTTAGGTTTATTTTTGGTAGACACGCGACAGTTGTACCACTCATGCTAGGTGACAGCACTAAAAACGGGCCTCAACCCACTATACACCAAGCAAGCTAACAAGACCCAGACTTAATCATGAAAACCAACCTCCACTATCCACCATCATTAGACATAATCATAATATCACAGCTAAATAACAACCCAGAAACCAACCTGCTAGGACGACAGCACGGCAAGCATACAATACAAAACAGGATAAAGAATCGCTACCATGAACCATCACCCAACAACACTAATCACTAGGAAGCCTAAGCTCAAAAAAGTAACACAATACATCTAGACAGTAGATACAATCAAATAAGCAATTCCCATTTTAACAAAGATAGTAAAAGGGAGGCAAATAATAACTATTCAACCATCCTTTTACAATTGAAGAACATCAGGAGGCTGCAATTCAGGGGAGCTGCCACCAACCTCAAGTTCAACCTCCAAGCAGCAATCCCGCAACCAGAAAAGCTCCGGAGAATCGTTGAACCCAGAAACCAGAGCAAAGCCCCGACTATAAAACACCAAACAGGGGGAGAGAGACGGCCGACGAACCTGCAAACTCGCCAACCACTTCGAAATGCACCCCGAATCTACTAAACTAAATTCGACACCAGCGAACTAGCCAGAAACCGACATCAGCCAAAGAACGAAAACCCAGAAAATCAAGGGAATGATGAACAAAACCAAATGAATGAAAAATCGACAATTTCAGATTCCGGCTGCTGGGATAGAATAAACCTGAAACACCGCCCAGCCGGCGCGTCAACCAAAACAACCGCCGGAACACCGAACTCAGACCCTTCTTCAATCTTGAGCGAGGAACCCAGAAAATCGAAGAAGGAATCCGATTAGCCTCGCAACACCTTCCAGCCGCCGATTCGCCCAACACAACCACCGGAACAACGAACCCTTCTTCAATCCTGAGTGAAGGTCGAAGAACAGACCGAGTTCCAACAGCCCTTAGGGTTTGAATTTTGGGGAAATGAAGAACAAGAAATCTGCTTCCCGACCTAACCCTTTGAAGAACGAATCCGATGAAGGCAACCACCGAATCCGTCTCCAAAGGGTTAGAAAGAAGCTAGAGTTTCTCTCTCTAGAAACAAAACCCTCCAAACTTTAGCCTTATATACTCTTGAGCGACTCCACCTACCATAATTGTATTGCAATACTTCTCAAAATCCTTGAGCTGGTTGAGAGGATTTTCACTTGTTGTACCACCATATTGTTTCCTCTCAATCAAGGTGATCATAGCCGGTTTGATTTCAAAATCACCATCCGGGATCAATAATGGAGCAATCCCGCTCTCATACTTGTAAGCGCCCGGCGTGCCCAACTCTTTCAACGTCACTCTATGAGCTTCTCCCATGTTCACTTGCACACAATCTTAAACAAAATTTTTAGTAGCATAGCTACAAGTGTAGCCCAAAGGAAAATCTTTTTGTGTTTTTGAATTAAGTGGAATAGACTCAACAACAATACACAATCACGACACCATTCCCTGGCAACGGCGCCATTTTGACGTGGGTCGAGACTAGGTCGTTGAAACTAACCCCTACCCAAGTCCAAACAAAATTTGTAATCTCTCAACACACCCTTATACAAGTATAATGGTAAGTCGAGGGTCGAACCACTGAGGAATGGAGAGCGATCTTATATTGCCAAGTCAAGCTATTCCGGAAAGGTTAGATAAGGGTGTGAATGCTAAACAACTAAACAAGCTATGTTTGGACAAATGTAATAAACACTAGGGCTCGGAATTCACATATACATGTAACGGATTTTGCTAATTGGGAAAGACTTGACTAAGTCGAGTGATGCGAGGGAAAACCAATCATGCAACCAAAAGAGCATATCAAGCTATTTTCCTAGAGGTCTAACTAGCGTCAACTACGATAAACTCTAGCTAGGAATGTCACAAGACACCTCAATCGTGTAAATGCAAGCCACAAATCAATGGTCCGTATCAATGTGAACCTGCAATGCAATCTAGTGTCAATAACTAGGGTGATCAAGCCTAAATCAGACACACACATGCACATAATCAATTAACCAATTTAATCAAATCATCAACTCCATCAATTTCCCCAAAATAACATCAATCCATTACTCATATATGCTTCACCATTACCCTAGCTATCAAACTACACTAGCCATTGAAATAAAGATCAAAACAAGGCTAAACAACAAATTCATCATGATCAAATTAAACAAGCTAAAATCAAATCACTATCAATCAAACTTCAATGAAACTTGAACTTTCAACAAAACAATTGAAATAAAACTAAAGATCAAACTAAAGATTGAATTAAAGAAAAGGAATCCTTACAAACTTGATCAAAGATCAAAGGAAATGGAGAAATCTTCAATCAATAACAATCCACCATGAAATTCTCTCTCTAAAAATCTAGAGTTTCTCTCTCTAAAAATCTAAAACTAAACTAATTCGATTCTAATTCTCTTCCTAAAAATAAAAGGAAAAACTATATATAGGAAAGCTACAAAAGAAGAGTTAGTTAGATCGTCCAAAAGAAACCCCGGAAGGCGCGGTCGCAAGAGGAGGTGCGCCCGCACCCGCACATGGCGCGCCCGCACCAACCAGGTGCGCGGCCGCACCACCTGCGTGTGCGCCCGCACCTGGCAGCAGGGCACTTCCTCTCTTTCTTCGTCCTAGTTCATCCTCGTACGCTCGTCTTGGTGATGATGATGAACACTAAGGTTGGCAGTCTTGAAATGGATATTTTGGTGGGTTCATGAAAAAGATAACGCCCCCGCCGCATACGT